CCGGGCGCTCGGCAACAAAGAGGCATCCCCACCGACGGCCGGGGTGGGGGGGAGCCGCTAATTCTCGGGGGTCCTTTTCAGGCAAAGAGCCCCGGGAACGAGCCACAAGTGAATAATCACCACCATCGCATAATAGCCCTTCAGCGTTCTTCCTGAGGCGGGAGGCGGGCAAATGAACTCGGGACGGATAAAAACAAAAGCGGAGGGGGAGGAGAACACACACACACACACACACACACACACACACACACACACACACCCCGCCCTCGTCTCCTGCATCCGGAAAGAAAGAATGGACCCCGGCTCCATGCACAAACCCATCAGGCAGACTTTTGTCCCTCGAGAGGCCTCGGGGCGGCCACTTGTCAGCAACGGGCCCCGGAGATTGTCTCCTGGGACACGGGGACGGGCCTGCGTCCGCCCAGGCACGCGGCCCCTTTGTGAGGCTCCTCGGGACGGGACGGCGGGATGCGGGGCCCTGGGTGATGCTCGCGCGGAGGCGGTTGCCTAGGAGACGGGCGGGACTCACGGTGCTGAGCTTGCTGGAGGCGATGAGGATGCGGCGCTCGTGCAGCATGCTGGCGTACAGCTGCAGCATGTTGCCCACGTCCACGGCCACGAAGTACTCGGTGAGGTTCCGCTGCCGGAGGGAGGGAGGGAGGGAGGCCAGTGAGCGCGCCAGGCGCCGCGTGGGGGGGGGGAGGGGGGCACGGGACGCGTCCCACACGGAGAAGGGTCTTTTTTTATTTTTTATCTACACGGAGCGGCCGGGTGATGATGAGGGTGATCTCTGAGCGCATCATCACCCAGGCGCTCCGTGTCCGTCCTATAGAGTAAAAGGCTCCGATGAACATGGTCCCCTTGGCCAGGCGTTCGACCAGCAGGCAGGCCGGCCGACCGCCCGTGTCCCCTCCCCCTGGCCAGGCTGGCCAGACCCCACCCATGCACGGATTCATGCACCGGGCCTCTACTATAGATAGATAGATAGATAGATAGATAGATAGATAGATAGATGATAGATAGATAGATAGATAGATAGATAGATAGATAGATGATAGGTAGGTAGATAGATAGATAGATGATAGATAGATAGATAGATAGATAGATAGATAGATAGATAATAGATAGATAGATAGATAGATAGATAGATAGATAGATGATAGGTAGGTAGATAGATAGATAGATGATTGATAGATAGATAGATAGATAGATAGATGATAGATAGATAGATAGATAGATAGATAGATGATAGATAGATAGATAGATAGATGATAGATAGATAGATAGATAGATAGATAGATAGATGATAGATAGATAGATAGATAGATGATAGATAGATAGATAGATGATAGATAGATGATAGATAGATAGATAGATAGATAGATGATAGATAGATGATAGATAGATGATAGATAGATAGAGAGATAGATGATTGATAGATAGATAGAGACACACACACACACACACACACTCTGAGTGGCCAGATGATGATGATCCCTGAACGCATCATCATCCGGCCGCTCCGTGTCCGTCCTATAGAATAAAAGGCTCCTATGCAAACGGTCCCCTGGACCAGGAGTGCGACCAGCAGGCAGGCCGGCCACCCGCCCACGTCCCCTGCCCCTGGCCAGGCTGCCTGGAACCCACCCATGCACGGATTCAGGCACCGGGCCTCTAACATATATATGTATGTGTACACACACACACACACACACACACACACACACACCATCATCAGAGACCATCGTCATCTGGCCACTCCGTGTGTGATGTCCTGAACTACATCAATAGGTGGAAAGAGGGGTTTCCTGACTACACCCCGGCATTCAGAAAGGGGTAAAGTAGCAGGAACATGAGAGAGAGAGAGAGAGAGGAAGAGAGGGAGAAAGGAGAGAGAGAGAGAGAGAGAGAGAGAGAGAGAGAGAGAGAGAGAGAGAGAGAGAGGAAGAGAGGGAAAAAGGAGAGAGAGAGAGAGAGAGAGAGAGAGAGAGAGAGAGAGAGAGAGAGAGAGAGAGAGGAAGAGAGGGAAAAAGGAGAGAGAGAGAGAGAGAGAGAGAGAGAGGAAGAGAGGGAGAAAGGAGAGAGAGAGAGAGAGAGAGAGAGAGAGAGAGAGAGAGAGAGAGAGAGAGAGAGGAAGAGAGGGAAAAAGGAGAGAGAGAGAGAGAGAGGAAGAGAGGGAGAAAGAAGAGAGAGAGAGAGAGCGCGCGCCATGTTTCTCCTTTTCTCTCCATTATTTCTCAGAAACAGAGTCACTCCACAGCCTATTTCTCTGCACAGGGATCCTTAAACAGCGAGAAATAAAGCTCACGCAGCGACCAGAATAAGGAACGTGAAGACGCGGGACACTTACGCTCTCGGGGATGGTGGGCAGCCCGGAGAGGTCGGGGGCGACGAAGCAGGAGTGCTGACGGCGAGGGAAGCACACGAGGAGCGGAGATCACCGTGGACCGGCACCGCACACAGCGCGGGGTAAAGAGAAAGAGAAAATAAAATAAAAAACAAACAGAGCAGCTGAGTTTATACACACCGAGGACACGTGCTCAGGACCGGCTGGATTTGAGAGATTATTTCGATGAGGTGTCAAGGAGATCCAACAATCACGTCCTCGTAATAAAGAATTAAGTGTTGCCCTGGCCGGTGTGGCTCAGTGGATAGAGCGTCGGCCTGCAGACGGAAGGGTCCCGGGTTCGATTCCGGTCAAGGGCATGCACCTTGGTTGTAGGGGGTGTGCGGGAGGCAGCTGGTGGGTGTTTCTCTCTCGTCGACGTGTCTAGCTCTCTGTCCCTCTCCCTTCCTCTCCGTGAAAAATCAAAAACGCTTCGGCCTTCACACTTCCCCTACCTTCTACACAAACACGAGTCAGCTTCGCTGGCAGATCACGACGGAGGTGGGTTAAGAAAGCGCACGGTGTATGCCCGCCCGCGTCCCACCCCCGAATCAGCGTGCCCGCGAATCACCAGCACGGCTGTATTTTCTGTTCATAATCGTCTCCGGAACCGCGTCCCCGTCGGAGCCCCAGAGGGACCTCCTGGGAACTGGGTTAGGGTTAAAGACGGGGCCTGGGAAGGCCATGGCCAATACTGACGCGTTCCCTCAGGCCACGTGCCATTCTCCAGGGGAGGAGAGCAAGAGGAGAGAAATCGCTGAAGCCGGTGTGGCTCAGTGGGTAGAGCGTCTGCCTGCGGACTGAGAGGTACCAGGTTCGGTTCCGGTCAAGGGCATGGACCTTGGTGGCGGGCACATCCCCGGTGGGGTTGTGCAAGAGGCAGCTGATCCATGATTCTCTCTCATCCTTGATGTTTCTCTCTATCCCTCTCCTTCCTCTCTGGAACCAATCAAAATATATTTTTTTTAAAAAAATCATAATAATCCTAACTGGTTTGCTCAGTGGAAAGAGCATCCACCTGCAGACGGAAGGGTCCCGGGTTCGATTCCGGTCAAGGGCATGGACCTTGGTGGCGGGCACATCCCCAGTGGGGGGCGTGCAGGAGGCAGCTGGTCGATGATTCTCTCTCATCGATGTTTCTAACCCTCTCTCCCTCTCCCCTCCTCTCTGTAAAAAATGAATAAAAAATGTTTTGTTTTGTTTTTTAAAAGAGAGAGAGAGTATAAACAGAAAATAGATTCCCCGTGATTGATTTATAGCCCCGTGATTGATGGGAGCGCTTCTTACAGGCCCAGCAGCCCCAGGCGCCCGTGCTGGCCGGGTGACTGGAGTGATTTGGAGACGCCGCTGCCCTGGGAACTCACCGGTGCTCGGGCGGGCTGACCTCTCAGAACTTGCTCACTGGCAATAAAGAGCTCTTGGTTCTTATATGTGAGAGAGAAATAAAATAACTATTTTACTTTCGGGGGGAATGTCTGCAGCACGCCCGGCCTGTGTCTCTGAGCCAGACCCACGGAGCCAACTGCCCACTGAGAATATCAGAGGGACACGGATGGCCCCTGTGAGGTCCGCTCATTGTAGGTTCTGCTCAGTGGATGGAGCATCCGCCTGCGGACGGAAGGGTCCCGGGTTCGATTCCGGTCAAGGGCATGGACCTTGGTTGCGGGCACATCCCCAGTAGGGGGGTGTGCAGGAGGCAGCTGATGGATGTTTCTCTCTCATCGATGTTTCTATCTCTGTCTCCCTCTCCCTTCTTCTCTGAAATCAATTAAAAAATGTATATATATATATATATATATATATATATATTTTTTTTTTTTTTTTTTAATAAGTGATTTTATCGCAACTTTTGCCCCTCGTTCACAGCACGGGACCGGGCACCTTGCCCTGAAATCCAATGCAATCTTGAAATGAGCTTTACCCAGACGAAAGGCAATGTTTTATTCCCCTGCTGACGGTACCGCCACGTCAGGTATGGTGTTGAGAGCAGGTGAGAAAGCTATCAGAGACCACTGATTCCAAATTTTACCCAAAGGCCAAAAAAAATAAAACACAACCAGCCCCACACACGAACGTAACAGCTGCCGAGATACACAGCCAGGGCGTTAGGGCAGGGCGGGAAGGCAGGTCCGAAGGTCTCAGCGGGATGCTCGGGCCAGCCCTGACCTGGTCCTGGGCGGGAGTGACTGATGATGAAGCCTCTTAAAGGGGCAGGTGCTCTTAAAGGAGACACGCCGGTCGCTCCTCCCGCAGACGGATGAACAGACCCATTCCCTGCCTGCGTACTCACCACACTCAGGTGGACCGGGCTGTTCGCCTTGGGGACTGGGTGGTTGTACAGCGCTGTGAGCGTGGCGTTCAAATCGTGTTCCTACGGGAAACAAGGCGGTACATGCTATCAGCCGAGTACGTGTCGATCAGCCCAAGCCGGTGTGGCTCAGTGGATAGAGCGTCGGCCTGCGGACCGAAGGGTCCCGGGTTCGATTCCGGTCAAGGCATGTGCCTTGGTTGCGGGCACATCCCTAGTGGGGGGGAAGGGGGTGTGCAGGAAGCAGCTGATGGATGTTTCTCTCTCATCGACGTTCCTAGCTCTCTGTCCCTCTCCCTTCCTCTCTGTGAAAAGTAAATAAAATATATTTTTTTAAAAATACTTCACCTTAACAAAAAAAAAAGTACATATCAATCAAATATAATTTAAATATTTAAATCAAAATATGGTTTTTTAAAACGATTGGATCGAGTCAGGGCTTCTCATGTCAGAGTTCCACAGAAATGTTCCAGATGCCTACTTCTCTTTTTAAAAAAATATATATTATTGATTTTTTACAGAGAGGAAGAGAGAGGGTTAGAGAGAGTTAGAAACACCGATGAGAGAGAAACATCCATCAGCTGCCTCCTGCACCCTCCCCCACCCCCACTGAGATGTGCCCGCAACCAAGGCACATGCCCTCGACTGGAATCGAACCCGGGACCCTCCCGTCCGCAGGCTGGCGCTCTATCCACTGAGCCACACCGGCCAGGGCTAAAAGAAGGTTTAGAGAGGACAGGGTGGGTGGCCGGAAAACCGGGTGAATGTCCTTAATGACCCAGAACCGTACCCTGAAAAGTGGTTTACATCAGCCCATTTTATGTTTTATGTATTTTACTTCAATTTAAAAAAAAAATAATAATGGGGGAGCAACGCAGCTTACCTGTTCCTTCGCCAAGTAGTCGGCCAGCGTGTTGAGAAGCTTGTAGTAGACTTCAAACCATGGCAGGTAGCTGTAAAAAAAATAAATAAATAATAATAAAAATAATAAAACAATAATAATAATAGCAATAACTGGAAAATGAATTATTATTATTCAGCATCAAGAAACGAGATGACCCAAGGAACATTACATGGACGTGATTTCAGACCGTTGGATCCTGGAAGGCAGGAAAAGCACCGAGCCTGTGTTGTCCGTCACAGGGAAATGGAATGTGTGGTCTGTGACTCGTTTCCCTAACATGATCAGAACCCAAAGCTCTGGGATCGAGTGTGTACCTGGCTCCCTTCTGTGTTAGGTCAGCAGAGTCTAACACGACTCAATCCCTGACACTGCCTTCCCCCTGCCCTCCCCCACCGCCCCCCCAACCCCCGGCCTGGTCGCCCCACACAGCCTGTTCCGTCATCCATTTGGTTGTGATGGTCCCTTAGGCCTTTTTTTAAAAATATATATATATTTTTGTTGATTTTTCACAGAGAGAAAGGGAGACGGATAGAGAGTCAGAAACATCGATGAGAGAGAAACATCGATCAGCCGCCTCCTACTGGGGATGTGCCCGCCACCAAGGTCCATGCCCTTGACGGGAATCGAACCCGGGACCCTTCAGTCCGCAGGCCGACGCCCTACCCACTGAGCCACACCGGTTTTATCCATAGGGATAAGCTCACCTTGCTGGGACAACAAATGTCCTTCTCGTCTTTTTATATTTCTGTGGTCTCTCAGGAAATGTTCACACAACACACGTCCCCACGGCATTCGTGTGTAAGTCATGGGTAAGCTCTTCCACGGAGTATCAGTACGCTAAAGCGCTTTCCCCCTAAATTTTAGGCCCAGAGACCATCAAGACCTATCTCTGCCAACCAACCACAAACATCCCAGGGAAGCCGAAACCGGTGCGGCTCAGTGGACAGAGCGTCGGCCTGCGGACTGGAGGGTCCCGGGTTCGATTCCGGCCAAGGGCATGGTCCTTGGTTGCGGGCGCATCCCCAGTGGGGGGCATGCAGGAGGCAGCGGATGGATGCTTCTCTCTCATCGATGTGTCTAACTCTCCCTCTCCCTTCCTCTCTGAAAAACATCGATAAAAAATATTTTTAGAAAAATAAAATTAAAAAAATAAAAAATAAATTTAAAAGAATATTAAAAAAAAAAAGAAGAAGAAGAAGAAGAAGAAGGAGGAGGAGGAGGAGGAGGAAATGGAGGTATGTGTGGGAGTCGGGCCCCTAGCATTGCCGGCCGGGGCCTTCCTTCATGCCGCGCCACCCCCTGGTGGCCAGCGCACGTCCCAGCGAGCGTGCGAACTCCCGGCCGGCCGGCCGAACTCCCGCGGGGACACTGTGCCTGTGAGGCTTTTATATCTACAGCTCGGGGAGCGCCCCGGCGCCCGGCAGCACGGCGGAGGACAGCTCCGCGCTGTGCCCGGGTTTTATCCCCGCCCAGGCCTCACCTGAGGATGCACAAGCAGGTGCGGCCGCCCGAGGTGAGTCTGCAGAACCCGAACCGCTGCTTGCTCTGGATGTCCGTCAGCACGAAGGCGAAGTGCTGGCCCACCTGGTTCTGAGACGCCCTGCAGCACAGGGGCGGCCGCAGCTCAGCTGGCGGGGCGACCGCGCAGAGAAGCCAGGGCACCCCGGTGGCTCCGTGGGCAGAGCGCCGCCAGCCTGCCGACCGAGGGGGTCCCGGGTTCGATTCCGGTCGGGGGCGTGGACCTTGGTTGTGGGCACATCCCCAGTGGGGGGCGCGCAGGAGGCAGCCGATCCATGATTCTCTCTCCTCGTGGACGTTTCTCTCTCTCTCTCTTTCCCTCCCTCTCCTTTCTGCTCTCTGACATCCACAAAAATGCATTTAAACATAAAACGTGTGTGTGAGTGTGTGAGTGTGTGTGTGTGTGTGTGTGAGTGTGTGAGTGTGTGTGTGTGTGTGTGTGAGTGTGTGTGTGTGAGTGTGTGTGAGTGTGTGTGTGTGTGAGTGTGTGTGTGTGTGTGAGTGTGTGTGTGTGAGTGTGTGTGTGTGAGTGTGTGTGGTGTGAGTGTGTGTGTGTGTGTGTAGTGTGTGTGTGTGTGAGTGTGTGTGGGTGGAGTGTGTGTGTGTGAGTGTGTGTGTGAGTGTGTGTGAGTGTGTGTGTGGGTGAGTGTGTGTGAGTGTGTGTGTGAGTGTGTGAGTGTGTGAGTGTGTGTGTGTGTGTGTGAGTGTGTGAGTGTGTGTGTGAGTGTGTGTGTGGGTGAGTGTGTGTGAGTGTGTGTGTGTGTGAGTGTGTGTGTGCACGTGTGTGAGTGTGTGTGAGTGTGTGTGTGTGAGTGTGTGTGAGTGTGTGTGTGCACGTGTGTGAGTGTGTGTGTGTGTGTGTGAGTGTGTGTGAGTGTGAGTGTGTGTGTGTGTGAGTGTGTGTGAGTGTGTGTGTGTGAGTGTGTGTGAGTGTGAGTGTGTGTGTGTGTGTGTGTGTGTGTGTGAGTGTGTGTGTGTGAGTGTGTGTGAGTGTGAGTGTGTGTGTGTGTGTGTGTGTGTGTGTGAGTGTGTGTGTGTGTGAGTGTGTGTGTGTGTGTGTGTGGGTAAAGTTTAGGTTTTCGGGGGGAAAGGGGGCAATGATAAGGCATGTACACCTCTAACGCCTTCATAGAAAAACGGGGAATAAAATAATAAAATTGCGAACGGTAAAGCATGCCGTCGGTCTCCGGCTGCCGGGGCGCAGGGGGTCAGGGCCACGTACCGCTCCACGACGAAGGGGAAGCAGAACCGGGGCACGCTCCTCAGCACCTCCTGCGGGCCGGCGGGAAAAGAGACAGAGGTTAGGGCGGCGACACACCTCACACCTGCGCCGGGACGGCCCTCCGAGGAAAAATAAAAGGCAAAATTAAATAGGATAATAAAATTAAACAAAACAAAACAAAATAAAACAACAAAATAATAAAATTAAACAAAATAAATAAAATAAAATAGTTAAATTACATTAAACAAAACAAAATAAAATAATAAAACTAAACACAATAAAATAATGTACTATAATAAAATAAAATAAATGAAACGACATGAAAAAATAAAATGAAATATAAAATAAATCATAAAATAGAATAATTAAATAAAGTAAAATTGAATAAATAAAGTAACATAAAATTAAAAATAAATAAAATAAAAAAAGATAAGTAAGATCAAATAAAATAAAAGGGCTCCTTTCTCAGGCTCACAGCCCAGGCTGGGCCGGGGCCTAATTGATTGTTCGGGGGAAGGAGGGTGGAGGGCAGATTGCGGGGACAATGCCGGCCGGGAGGCCTAAAGGGCATTCACACCCTCCGGCCCCTGGGGGGCCTCACAGGCCATATGGGTTCACGGCCGCACCAGATGGGGAGGCACCGGCCACGGGGCTCCTGACGGGCCTGGCGCAGACGGAGAGGGGCTGCCCCGTTAGAATGCGGGGGGCCAAGGATTACGGGGGGGTGGGCCTGGCCCGGGGATTACGGGGGGCCTGGCCCAGGGATTATGGGGGGCCTGTCCCACAGGAGGGGGTTAGAGAGACGCCGATGGGCTCACCCCCTGTGAACTCCGAGGCAGGAACCCCAAGTCCATCTCGAATGAAACACCCCCACCACCCCGTGTCCGTCTGAGACTCGGCCTTTCTTCCACCGAGAACAACAGCTTCCCGTCCCCGCGCCTCTGTGACGGGGGAGGGGCCCCTGAGAACCCAGTTCTCGAAGGGAGGTGAACGCGGAGGGAGGGCCTGATTCCGGCCGGACCTGCCGTTTGCTCTGAAACAGCGTTCGGCTGTTCGGAGGTCACACACGCACGCACAGCTTAGGACAGCATGCAGCGGGTCCCAGGGTCTGAGTAGTGCCTAACGGCCCCTACTGTCTGTCTGTCTGTCTGTCTGTCTGTCTGTCTGTCTGTCTATCGTCTGTCTGTCTATCTATCTATATCATCTGTCTGTCTGTCTGTCTGTCTATCTATCTATCGTCTGTCTGTCTGTCTATTTGTCTATCTGTCTGTCTACCTATTGTCTGTCTGGCCCAAATATCTATCTATCTATCTATCTATCTATCTATCTATCTATCTATCTATCATCTATCTATCATCTATCTATCTATCATCTATCTATCTATCTATCTATCTATCATCTATCTATCTATCATCTATCTATCATCTATCTATCTATCTATCATCTATCTATCTATCTATCTATCATCTATCTATTTATCTATCATCTATCTATCTATCTATCTGTCTATCTATCTATCATCTATCTATCTATCTATCTATCTATCATCTATCTATCATCTATCTATCTATCTATCTCTCATCTGTCTGGCCCCACACAGAAAAGGGTCCGGGTGTGTGATCTATGAAAAACAACTGTCAGACCACGTCTGAACCCCTCACG